GTGTGTTGTCCTTCTACTCACTGACTGATTTCAAATGCTATACTCCTACTCTGATCCACTGGTCTTACGAAATACTCACAGTGTTTCCCAGCCAGTAGTTCTCTTTTCTTCACTTCCTCTGTCAAAGCTAGGAAGATTTAAATCTGTTTTTCAGAGATGGGCATATTCAAGCAAAATATTTTGAATTTGCAAAGCCAACACGTATCACTCTGGTACAACCCTGGCCACACTGTCCTTGCGACAACTTCTCTCAGATTTGATGAATGGATTAAAAACAGACAACCAAACCAACAAACATAACAGTTAGAGTAGAGGAAAGGCCACTCAACCAGTTAATTTTATTCTTGTTTCATATTAGGTCAGGAGGGTCCACAGTTCTTGACTGGACAAAGACTTTTGAAAAAAAATTTTTGCACCTTTAAAATGTAGATCATTATTCCATTCATATATCATTTTGTCCCAAATTTTAGAAGACACTAAATTTGTAAGCATATTATAGAAAAATTTGATTCTATTTCCAGCCAACCTCAAAAAATTATAATTTAAAAATATGTTCATTTGTTAGGAAAGATCAACTTATAATACTTTCCTATTTTTCTGTGAAAAATATACCATCATCAACTTTGTAGAAATTATATTGTTTCTTAGAAGTCACTTAACTTTGTCTTTGAATGCAAACACCCTCATATTAACTTTTTGCTTTGCCACACCAGGTTTCTAAGGAGAAACAAATATTTTATATTCATGTGGAAGAGACTTTGATTTATATCATGAAGTCTAATAGTAATATAAAGCTATTGGAATGCAGATAGAATGTCTTGGGAAATTTTGCATCCTTTACAGTGTTTTTTATATACAGTAGAACTTTAATAATTTTTTATTTGAAAAAAATTGAATGTTCTGAAGCAATAATGATAGCTAATAAATAGTAATAAGTACATAACTAAGAGACATTAAGCATATGAATACCAGTACTGTTCTAAGTACTTTATAAATTGGTGTATTTAACAACCTTAGAACCTTGTTATTTACTATTCCCTTTCTTTGACAGAAAGGTATGCATGTGTGCTAAGTATGCTTTATAGTCATGTCCGAGTCTTTGCAACCCTAAGGACAACAGACTGCCAGGTTCCTCTGTCCATAGGGTTCTCCAGGCAAGAGTACTGGAGTGGGTTGCCATGTCCTTCTCCAGGAGCATCCTTTACAGTGTTTTTTATATACAGTAGAACTTTAATAATTTTTTATTTGAAAAAAATTGAATGTTCTGAAGCAATAATGATAGCTAATAAATAGTAATAAGTACATAACTAAGAGACATTAAGCATATGAATACCAGTACTGTTCTAAGTACTTTATAAATCGGTGTATTTAACAACCTTAGAACCTTGTTATTTACTATTCCCTTTCTTTGACAGAAAGGTATGCATGTGTGCTAAGTATGCTTTATAGTCATGTCTGAGTCTTTGCAACCCTAAGGACAACAGACTGCCAGGTTCCTCTGTCCATAGGGTTCTCCAGGCAAGAGTACTGGAGTGGGTTGCCATGTCCTTCTCCAGGGGATCTTCCCAACCCAGGGATCAAACCAGCTCTCTGTGTCTCCTGCAGGGGCAGGCGTGTTCTTTCCTGCTGGAGCCATGTGGGGAGCTGGACAGAGAGGAAGGGGAGCTAAGTAGCTTACTCAGGGTCACACTCCTAACTAGTGTTGAGTCAGGATCTGAACCCTGGAAGACTGTCTCCAGGCCTAGTGCTCTCACATCCAACACAGAACGACTTACTCTTTATTGTTTTAACAGAAAATTGCAATGATCCATATTTAATAGAAGAATAGATTCCCTCTGAAGTTAATGTTGAAAGCCCATTCCAGTATATTGTCATGGCCTTTTCACTCTTAAAATGTTCTTTGGTGCTTATCTGAAACAGATGCAAACACTTAAAACATCCATTCATATTGTATTTCCCTGTGATTTGCTGGACTATGTCAGGTTGCCTCCAATAACTGTATGATTTCATTTGCCTTGCTACCCTTTTACAGACCTGCAACCTCATGGATCTGTTCAAGCATAGATGGTTGGAGGTTGATTAGCATCTCTTGCCAACATTCTGTCTCCTTCTGTTGTAGAGAGCTCTAGGACAGCCAAAAGCTTGGTGGGTTTTTCAAAGCAGTTTCTTCAACCAAGCTTTTTGGCAAGACGTGATGATGGGCTAATAGCAGTGCAAAGTTTATTCTCACATACTTTTAACTCCTGGAGTTACTAATTGGGAGTTACTTAAAAGACTTTACCTTTCAAATGGTTTACTTTTTTCCAAGGTATTGTTCTTCAGTAAACATAAGATTAAGTTGATTTTCTCTTTTTATGAATTTTGATTTTTGACTTTTTATTGCTTGTTCAACTCTTTTGATTGTGTAAACTTATAATTTTGCATGCAAAATGACTGGGCAGAAGTGTCACTGCAAGTCCTTACTGTGGGAGAGTCCTATCTCTTTTGTCTCCAAGGATAGATTAATGACAGTATCATTTTTATTTGCTGTATTTTTATCTCTGGCAACAGGAATGATTTGGCACTGTCAGCTGATGATTACTTTGGTTAAACAAAGTTTCTGATTAACAAAAATATGTAATGGCTTCAGAAGGTCCTTTAGAATTTTGTTTTATGTCAAAGTTATCTCAGTGGTTATCAGTTGAAATCATATTGTGTAAATTTTTGAGACACAATTAAAGAAGATATGTTTGGATTATACTTAGATTTACTGAAATTATATTTATGAGTCATTTGAATTGAGAATGGAGAAAATTCTCACAGTGATTCTTCAAGCTGCTCTCAATCCATAACTGCAATCTGTAGAAGTAATGTAGCAAAAATCTCCCTCTTACAATGAAATCCTTCTGATAATTTTGGCACCTATATTCTTTAAATGGTGCCTATACCATTTTATTCCATAGCATCTTTTGTGTATTTTTTTCAGTATACTTGTATCTGGTCTGGAGTTTTCCTATTTTTCAGTCGTCTCTACATCTTCCCTCAGACCTTGTAATTGGGATGGCAAACCTCCAGCACCCAATATGTTTTGTCTGTGTTAGAGACACAAAGTACAATATTTAAGTTGGGTGCTCTTGAAAGAGCTTAAGATGATGTTGCTTACTTATGAAATTTCATTTTCAGTACTAAATATAAATAGTGTTGTGGCACTTTTTGGAGTTCTGATCATTTTTGGTTTTAGGTAGACAAATGTCGATCTGAGCATTTTTTTGTTAGTTGGTTCATTTCTGTGGTATGGAGTAGCATTTCTTTTTCTTTTTTTTTTTTAATTTTCAGATACTTACGACCTTGTTAAATAGCAGTCCAAAAATCATGTGGCTTGTTTTGATTTTAACCAAAGTTACAGCTGCCTAACTGTAAAGCAGTCAGTTTCTCTTATTATGACTAGTTCTTCAACTTGTACTGTTTTAAATTGCCTGCAATTAGCATATTTCAACCTTATTTTTAGGTTTAAATTGCAGTGTGAGAGTGTACTCTCCTCTTAGCTAATTAGTGCTATCAAGGAACAGTAGGTTACCTCATTAGTACCATGTGCATTTAATTAAAGAAGAGAAAATTGGAGTTAACCTCATAGTTAATATTTTCACAGAGTGCTACAATGCCAACACCTTCAATTGGAGTCACACCCCTGTGTATCTAATTATTCACTGGTGCCAAATAAGGTTAGCAAGGGTACTACAAGGCTGTTGACAAAATAATTTAGATGAAAACGTGTTTGTTGGATTCTGACAGTAAAATATAACTTGAACATATTTTCCTCATCCTCATCTGCCAGTGTCAGGTGACATAATTCTTCATAGGAAACTGAAAGAAGAATATTTGGGAAGCCATTTTTGTTTTTTCCTGTTTGAATTAATGTTGCTCTTATCTTGAAAAAAATGACATATAGTCATATAAAGCATATACAATCCGTTTCTTACACAGAGCAAAAATGACATATAGTCATATAAAGCATATACAATCCGTTTCTTACACAGAGCCCCTGAACTTCAGAGATGTATTTGAAAAGAATTATTTATAAGATGTAATATTTACATGCATCAAACCACTACAAATACTCCTTGACACCCCTACCGCATTCCTCCTTGCTTTTCTTCTTTTCTGGTATACTTATAATTTCCCTTGTGTATCTTACGAATGGGGATCATCCTTTCATATCATACATGAAGTCTAAGGATGTGTTGTCACATGGTCTATTCAAATGCAGTGTAATCCTTTTGCCCTTCAGACAAAATCTTTTGAAATGTCTAATACTACTTAGGTAAAAAATGACATTTCATGTCATTTATCAATAAATAATCACTTTGCTTTTACAGATAAAAATGCAAACTGTTCATTTGAGTATATAGAATAGTTTTCAATACAAATGACATAATTCAACAGGTTTTATCAGAGATTGTGGAGTTTGGCTCCATAGTCTTAAATATATATTTAATGGCAGTATTTGTGTTGTAGTAATGCAGAGCCAAGACAGTTTATTAAATGAGGTTCTTGTGGTTGTTCTCACATTTCATGACAAGACAGGCTTTATGTTCATTTATATTGGTTGTAATTGATGAGTCAACAGTTAGCTTGTGTGAAAAAAATAAAGTTTAAGGACAACTAGCAACCTGTACTCTAAAATCATAGTACCATTTAACGTTGTGGGAGTATTTACTAATATTGGCTATAAGTTTAATTTAGTAATGGGAAGTAAGGTTCTTAAGTCAAGATCATGGTAAATCAATAATTTTTGGTTAGTGATTAATTCATATGTTCAAATATTCAAAATAACATCTGCCAAATCATTCCTATTTTTAAAATTTATACTATTATTAGCTGTGATGCAAAGGTGGGATAGTTTTGTCTAGGTTGACCTACCAAGATAATAATCCAAAATAATTTTCTTAAATGATAATGTACATTATTAGCATAAGATTGGGGGAAAAAAGCCAACTCCTGATTCTCTTTGTTTAATCTAGGAATTGCTTCCAGAAACAAAATTATGTGTCTGTGGCCACTCTTCTGGTGATGGGCATCCTCACAACACATTTGCAGTAAGTTACACTGGACAATTAGAGATTCAGCTACTACATATAAGGCCATAGACCCAACCCCACTAAATAGCTGGTCTGTGATTTTCTGTTATCCACTGCCATATAGTCGTGAAGATGATCAAGAGATGACTAATGTTAAGGCACAGATGTAGTTTTTTTGTGCTGCTTCTTATATTCTTACTTCAATTCTGTTTCATCACTTATACAGATCACAGTTTCTGTGAATTGATGACATTAAAGTTTAAGTATGTAAGGGTGTATGGCTGTTTCACCACTGTACTTTTCTTGAACCACTATGCTTTCTGGAACAGATTTAGGAATAATTTGATGAGATGTTATTGATATGCATAAAATAAGTCAATGGAGATTATGGGTAGATACAATACATATTTTAGGGAATAGTTGCTATTATGAGTTCTGCAAGTTAACATATAAATATGCCAAGGCCTCTTTTTACATATTCTGTCACCGAGTATAATTTGTCTCTTTAGACTATAATATTCAATGAAAATTGCTTTTGTGACCCAGTTCACATACCAGTTAGCCTGGGAAATGAATAGCAATCTTGAAGTGGCCATTCAAGAATTTTTAAATAGAGCAACTTCATGTTTCTATTTAGCATGGACACTACCTGTATTCCTAAGGAATCTCTAAATATGTAAGTCATATATTTTCATTTATAGAATTTTTGCTTGTTTCTTGAGGAATTGGTATAGTATTTTAAGTTCTGTGGTCTAGAATATCCCTAAATATTCCTAAATTGTCTCACCAAAAAATATTTTTTACTACCATATACCTAATATTTCTTAATTTATGATTGTAGACTAATAAGCAAATAATAAGACAGAAATACCTAATTTTATACCTTGGTTAAAAAAAGAAAGATTTTTATCAATAAAAATAGTGTCAGATTAACATGGTATGCTAGTCTTTGTGGAAAATATACAGTCCCTAGACATTTTTTAAAATGTTAGATGCAAAGCAAAAATAGAAGTGAAAAAAGCAATAACATACTGTTTTATGGAAATAATGAATGCAGGGAACTGGTAATAAATTTTGTATATGAAATTAGGATTTATAATAGTCTGAAATTACTTAGTTTAGGGTTTCATTCATTTTAATTCTAAAGTGCTGTCCTCCTAATAATAGTAATAACTTCTGAAAGAATAGCAAATATTAAGAAGTAGTGGCAAGTTTTGCTCAAGCTATGTAAATTTATGTGAAAGACTAAAATAATCTTAATTCCTAAGTTTTCGCTGTATGTTTTGAAGAAAAATAACCTTCAAAAATAGCTATGTTTTAACTTAGTAAAGAAGATTAATTCAAAAATGTACTTTAAAAATGCTGCATTAAAAAATAAGCAGGCAGTATTCCAAATTGGTAACACTTTTTCCTAAAATAATCTCAATGGAAAAATTGTTTTCTTTAGCCTGAAGAGTGAGATGGCTTAACTAATAATAGTTCTTTATGTAAATCTGCTTCTACCTTTAAAAAATTACTCTCTATTCTACTGACAGAAATTTAAATCTACAGCACTATATCTTTTCACTGAAATGTTTTCTGAATGAAAACAAACTGTGGAGAAATTAAATAAATGGCTCACAAGTGCCATGCAGTTCCTCAATGGCAAGCCTGAATTTATAGCCCAAGTTTGTGAGATCACCAATGTACTGGTCTTCCCAGGGGTATACCACATCGTTCATGACTGCCTTGAATACTGTGTTGAACAAGAGCCTGAGATTAGGCCATGTATCTGAGACTATAGTTTGTCTACAAGGTAGAAAGAAAGCCAGCATAAATTAGTGAGGTCTTCTGTGGTTGGTGGGTAGAGAGCATGACATTGCATGGATCAGGTGTTTACCATCCCTGAAGTGCACCAAACTTAATATTTCAGATTAGTCACTGAGTGACTTTGCAAATGATGCTTCTGGACTTCACAACACCAGGGAAACATTCAGTACTAAGTAGGGGCTTATTTCCTTTATTTATTATATTAGATACAAACTTTTTGTGGGCTAAAATGGCTACATAATGTGATTTAAAATCCAGATGGAAACCAAAAGACTATTTATTATTTGTAGTTGACAGTTTCTGTTTGATGGACATGGCTCTCTCTCTTAGTATTTGTTAAATTTTATTATTACTAAAATGCTGGGGTGGTACTTGAGTAAATCTGAACACCATGAGATTACTGGAGATTACACTAATAGACTATGTATAATGTGCATCTACTAATTCATTGCAATTCTGGGCAGTAGTAATTGTACCCACAATTACTTATATCATCTCTACATAAAAATTATAAATTTTAAACTGCTTCTACCTTTTTTTTTTTTTTAGGAAATCTTTGGGCTCCATAGGTTGTAAATTTAATATTCTAAGAGTAACAATTTAATATTCTTATTATAAGTTTGAATTTTATAAGAGAAAGACATTGAATTCTGGCTTTAAAAGACATGAATATGAGAGTGAGTTTCACTGTAAGAGGTTACTTTTCAATACTTGCTTTTCACACTCAGTTTTTTCAAATGGCATATAATTAACTCTAATCTGGCAAATCTTTAGTTTACTTTTCTTGCAGACTTTAGTAATAGTATTGATGCCTTTCTTTTTTCCCTGGCTACAACCCTAAATTTCACAACTTTGGTTTCCCTGCCACATGGTAGTAACCCAAGTTCACTCCTCAAGAGATCTACCCTGTTGACACGTGGTCTGCCTGAATGCCCTTGTTAGCACCTACCTGCAGATAGTCTTTACTTCAGGTGTTTACACCTATAGGAATACTGTTTTACATAGGACTCTGCCTGTTGGCTCTAACTGTTGAGGCAATTATGCAGAATGCTCAGTCTTTATCTTTGGGGTCTTAATTTCAAAACCTTTACCACTGGATTATATGCATATTTTGATGACCAAAATTTGTCAGATCTATAAATTACAAGTTGAGACTTGGTTGGTCTTGGTCTAGCTGTTATGTATCACATTCAAATTAAATTACATTGACCACCTCGGGGCTTTTCCCCTACAGATCTTGACTCTATTATGATTGCCTCCTGAATGTTTCATTTTGATGGGAATTGTGGATTGGAAAAATTAAGGAGAAGAGGACATTGATGGTTTTAAGAATCTTTTTCTGTTCCAATTTTCTCTGTCTTTTTAGGCTTTCCATAAATTTTACCCAGTACTAAATAATCTGTCCTGTGGACTCTGAAATCAGCTTTCTAAATTGAATACTGGTAATTACTTGACTTTTTTTTAGCCTTATGCTTGCAATCTGTAAAATTAGGACAGATAGTAAAATTAGGTAGATAATATCTACCTCACAGAGTGGTAATACATTTACATTTGATAACCCCAAAACTACTTAGCATGACTAACACACAGAAAGTATACAGTAGATGTCTGACTCAGTATCTATGGTATCATCAATATACTCTTGCTTGGACCAAAGAGGAAATTCTATTTGACATAAAATTTAAAAATGTATTGATATTTGGTATTAACACTAAGCAGGAGGTTTTGGATATTAACTTATGCCATGACCAAGATGGGAATGTTGCTTACTGAGTGGAAAATACTCATTAAGTCACACACTAATTTTTTCACTCACAAAAATCAGTTATCTAAATGTTTTCTGATTTGTTAAGCTGAGTGAAAGAGAAAGAACCCTGCCTCACTAGACCTAAATGATGTCCTCTGGCAGTCAAAGAAAATCATGGGGAAAGAATGTTAGCAAAAGTGATTGTACGATCAGCTGTCTGTATCCAGCCAGAACACATGAAAATAAGGAGTTATGCATGTGGAGTACCAGTTTATCACCAATTATTTTCTTCCATTTTCTATTATAAATGTATTAGCAGAGATTAACCAAGAATTAGAGATAAATTACTACTTAGTAGTGGTGTTGATAATTTTAACTAACAAGCTGGAGACAATTAACCAGATGGGATAATGTTGTGGTAAATTTTTTGGAAAGTCCTTCCTATAAAACCTATATTGCAAGATGTAACTGCTTGTCATTAGTGTGAATGTGTGTTAGTATAAGTCTGAATTTATTTTGAAGCAATGCAGATCAGATTTGTTAATTCATCATTTTATTTTGAGTAATTCGTCCTATTACAATAGGACTGATATTATACTAAGTCCTTTGAAATGAAATAAACCTTAAGATGATCAAATATTTCAGACACTTATATTACAAATGATTTGTTAATGCCAATATGCTATATTATAGTGACTGTATTTAGAGCTAATATTAAAAACCTTCTAGGTTTTCCATTGGAAAGCGAATAAAGATTTCAGTTTTTAAAGCTTTGACTGACATTTGTATGCAACTCCTTGATTAATCTTTTTTTTTCCTAGTGTAACTCAAGATATTAATAATTATCTTTACACACCTCACTCAGCTGGGATGTAGCTCCCTGAGCTCAGTTCATTCTAGACACCTCTCCTGAGTAATTTACCTCTCACCTTCTATTTTACTGCAATATTTGAGACTGCCATGAATTCTCTTGATGTTGGTTCCAAGAAGGACCAGTAGCAGAGCTTTTTCAATGGAGACTCTTCTTTGAAATTTATAATGAATAATTTACTCCCCTTGATGATTCACCAAAGCATTAGTATAGCAGAAATCAGGGGCTGATGAAAAGATTATTTATTTAGTTATCTGATTTTGTTGTTGTTAATATATTTTTCATCAAATAAATTGATACACACACTAGAATATGTATGTGGCAATAATGTGAATTTATGGTGCCCATCGAGCAGACTGTATTTTTGCTTTCACATTTAAAGTTATTTGTAATGAGCTACTAATGATAGTCTCTACAAATATGAAATATAATATGCTTTTAACAGTTCATTCTATAGTTCTTAACATCATTGCTTAACATCATTGATAAACTGTGTATTCTATATTTGTTACTTGTATTTCTGTTCCTTGTATATTTCTACATCATTTATTGTAGCATAGTCAGTGAGAGGCACAAAAGCAAGTCATCCTA